CGGTGACCTCCTCTGTCGCCTTCTCAATCCCACGCCTTCCTTGATCGGAGGGCGTATGCGGTTGGCTTGTTTTTTGTTTTTGTTTGTTTTTTCTTAGGCCCTCTCATATAATTTGGATTATTGACTGAGTTACTATTCAAATTTCCCCAGGGTCTGGACGTTTGTTATTTATTTTAGAATTTGAAAGGAAAACCGAAGGGAACCTAACGCCCCTCCGGGGCAGAAGGGGGCAGCGCGGGAGAGATGGAAGGAGAGTCCCTCTAGCTGTGCAAACTTTCCGGCACGCCCCGCTGCCGCGCGCGGGGGCCAGACGTCACCCGGCTCAGGAGCCCGACCAGAGCAGTGGGGAGTTGACCCGGAGGGATGGATGTCGATATCGGTAGTGATATTTATTTATCATTCTCTCTGCTCTCGGGAGGAATGAATCTGAGTCTTCAGGGCCCCAGGCTGAGGATTCCTAAACTCCCGCGGGCCGAACTCGGCAGAGCCAACCCGCAGCTCCTCCCCCGCCTCTCGCCGCTGGCTGCTCCCAGGCTTCGGTTTTCCCCGCTAGTCAGGTTTGTAAGTCATCATCTGTGAGACTGAGTTAGGAAGTGATGAAAAGCATCGAACTGTTTTCTAATTGATAATGCTTTTTTTTTTTTGGTGACCGGGCTGACAAATATCTGGGATCCCGGCTTTTGATCCTTCGCTGCCGCCTCTGTTCTCCAATCGCTAATAAAATTCGCATTGAGCCCCTTAGTGCCTTGATTAACAGGCAGATTAACTCTTACTGGGGTGGGGAACAGCTTGTCCCAATCAATGTCATTTTAAAAGCCCGTCAGGATATGCTTAGCTCCTGTTCCCTGGCTGCTCGAATGAGCCAGCCATGACATTTGCTCCCTCCTCCTTCCCCGGCCTCAAATCCCCCAGCAAAGCCCCCAGTTCCCAGCCCGCGTGTTCCCTGCTCCAATCCAGGACAAATTGCAGGACTCGGTCCCTGGCCTTTAAAACAGGCAGCTGTTTAGAGAGGGGATCTCCAGGGAGAAGGGACTGAGGTGGTCTTGGCTTGCTTTTCATTTGAAGCTGAACTCTTGCTTCTTGAGGGTGGAGGTTACAGGGAAATGAGAGATGGAGAACTGTCCTGGGTGATGAAATGGAAAGCAAACTTTCCTCGGAATCATATTTGCAAAAATCGGAGAGTGCCGTTACTTGCAAGTGTCCTACACAACAAGAGTTTTAAACCTGGTCCCTATCTGGACAACAGCATGTAGGGTCCGGGAAGCAAAGGCTTGAGAGTCCGACCTGCTGGGCTGCAGGGACCTCTTTGCTGGGAGACACAGTTGGACAATTTTTTTTTAAAGTATTTTGTGGGGGGGGGGAGAGGGAAGAGAAAGAGACGCTTGCCGGCCAACATGAATGGAAGAGAATCGAACCTAGAGAGTGCCGTGACACACTTGCCATTTGGCAGGAGGCAAGGAAGGGCGAGGGCACCGCGTCTTTCCCCAGCCTAGCGTGGCCGCAGTCTGGAGGCGCCACCGGGCCGGCTCCCGACTCCCCTCGGCTTCTCTGAGCTCTGGGCTCGGCGAGGCTGCCGGGTGAGCTGGGAACCCGCAGATTGCTGGAGAAAAGAGAGGGAGAAAGGCCCCCAGTGGAGGAGGCACCTGGAACTGGGCAACAGGGGTGGGCGCCTTTGCCTTTGGTGCTCGTCTGACCCGTTTCGTCAGCTCCGCTATCCAGGGAACCCACCTTCCCAGGGCCTGGGGGAGAGAGAGCCGTTTGAGCCTATGCAAAGTGACGCAGGTGTTTACGGAGATTTTCCTCCTTGAAAGAAATGCTCGTCTCCACCCTTCCCAGCACACCAGCACCGCTCCTCTGCTTCGCGGTGTAAAGCTGCAGTTCAGAGGTGTCACAACACCGGGTGAAAGAGTCTTGGTTCCGAAGCCGGGAACCGAACGTACATCCCCCAAGAGCTGGGCACATCTTTGCCTCGCCAGAGGCCGCCTTCGCGCGGGAAATCTGCAGAGCGGGCACGGGCGAATGCCAGGGATCGCTGGGGGTGAGATGCTGCCCGACCTCACACTTACGCACCAGTATTAGCCAGAGGCTCCAGGCACTCTTGGGCGAGCGGCGATGCCCCAGCGTGACTCCTTAGGCAAAGACAGCCTCTCCCTACCGGGTGGGATGACCCGGGCAGCCCCTGAGGGAACAGGCCGGAGAGAAGTCCTCCTAGGGCGCCAAGGAGTGGGGGGGACGGGGGGTAGGAACCTGGGGAGAGACGGGAAAAGGCGAGAAAGAAAACGAAAGGCGCGACCCCCCCTCCTTCCCCCTCCCGGAGGGCAGCAAGTGGGCCTCGGTGGTGTGGGAAGCCGCAATTAAAATGGCGACCTGCGAATTGTCTCAAATTTGCGCACACCTCTGGCCCTCGCGCGCTGCATCTCCGTCCCAGTCCCCCAGTCGGCCGCGTCGCCCCCAGAACAGGTACTTGGCAGAGGGCGCGAGGCGACCCACGAGGTGGAACGGCACCCCCATCCTCCTTGAGACTAGCCCAGAGAGAACAGGAAATCTTCCTCTCCAGCCGGCTCTCCTTAAACTTTGAAAACTCTGCCTCCCTCCGGGCTGAGATCCCCCCCCTCCAAATATTGACACATTGGAAGCTGCCAAGTCCTTTTTGTTTCTTGTTTGTGCAGAGGGGTTTCCAAGAGTCCTTTTCTGAGCTCCCACCTTCACTCAGTGACGTCAGTGGCATTCACTCCCGCTCCTCGCCTCTTACGATTTTTTGTTGTTAAAACTTTTCTCCGAGGTGAGGTGGGATTGGGGGTGGGGTGGGGTGGGAGAAGGAGCTGATTCAAAGAGCCAGGGCCCTGGGGGGAAATAGCAACAAGATTACGGCTGCTTCTCTCCGAGGCAAAGCTTAAGAAGGTGCTAATCCACTCGGTCGCTAATTGAGAGGTTGTAAAAATGATATTTGCCTCCAGTTCGGACAGTCTCTGGGATTCCTCCATCCCCGCCCCCCCCCCCCGCCTCTTATGCTCAGTAGACTTGAGTTCGAGCTTCTTTAATGATTGTTGAGAAGTAAAAGGGGAGAGAAAAAGGATGCAGGCTCTCGCTGGTCTGGGATGGGCCCGCTGCCTCACTGAAAGTCGCGGTCCTACGAAGTCTCGCTCAGGAGGCGCCACCTCCTTAGCCTCTTTAGTCTGGGTTTTTCTCCCGGCGCTGAGTACTCCTGGACCGCGGAAAGGGCCTTCCTCAGGCCGAGATGGTAATCGGGTTGTGCTACCGCAAACCTGACCCGGACTGGGGAGGCCTCCGCTCACCCCGGAGCTCTGCCCGGCTCCTTGGCGGCAGCGTTAGTGGGCCTGGGTTGGGGAGGAGAGCATGAGACCCACACTAGGCCCTGCGGCGGCCCAACACAGCCTGCAGCGTCCTCACGGTCCCAGGTCCCAGGGGCAGCCGCCGCGCCGCGGGTCATCTGTGAGTTCAGGTTGCACAGACTTTACTGATGAGCTCTGACTTTTAGCGCTTTTCACAAGTCAAGAGGAGTCAGGTATACCCGGCGGTGGCTTCCTGTCAGCCTCCCTGCTTCAGCTCTTCCAATCCCATTCTCCTTTGCCAGGTCCTGGGGTGTGTGCCCCATCCCAAACCTTCCCCCTTCCTTGCCTCACGGCCTGCAAGCTCCGAGAGAGCTCGGCATTTTGCAGGACTAGGCAGCCGCTCCCTCCCCGTCACCTTAACTGCGGGCACCGAGGGGAGCCTTTGGAGTGTACTGAGGTGTGTCCTAATCGTCCGGCATTCAACAAATGGACTTCTGGTGTGTGGTCAGAAGAGAAAAGCCATTTACTTACTTTCCTCCCCGGTTTTCTGGCAACAGCTGAAGGGGAGTTGCCTCCGTGGACTGAGCAGACCCAGGAGAGGGAATCTTGGTGCGGAGAGACTCACACACCACACAAGATAACGGGTGGCACACACGGATACATGCTGACACACCAACATCAATGGCGAACGCTCGCGCTCTCTCTCTCTCTCTCTCTCTCTCTCTCTCTCTCAGCATTGGTAGTCTCCCTCCACTCCAGGCCTCCACCCCCGCCTCCCTTCTTATCTCCCCCTCGCGTCCCCTCCTCTCGGGCGGGCGCCTGGAAAAGCAGCCGCACTTAGTCAACAAATGGCACGTGGGAGAAGTTGGTGAGTGTTTGGTGAGGACTCTTCAGGCTTTTCACAAGAACCCTCTGTACACAAAGTAAGTGGCGTGTTTGCTCGGGCCTCTCCAGCCCCGGCTGTGCCTCCGCTCCACTGCGCACCGCGCCTTCCGAAAGAAGAAAGAACAGAAGAAAGGGCCGGGGGAGAGAGGGTGGGGGAATGGGCAGGCCCGGGAGGCCTGGACTGGGAAGGCCGCCCGGCCTCGCCAAGTTCCCAAACGGGCGGCCTCCTCTCGGCCTAAGCTTCGCCTCGGCCTCCGCGGGAGTGTGTCTGCCAGGACCCAGTGACGCTCATACCCCTTTTCTCTTCTTCTTCTCGGCGGCCAGGTGGGCTAGGGCGCGGCCACTGCTGTGTTCCGCGTCCCAGCGCCCAGGCGGAGATGGGGTAGGGGTAGGGGTAGGGGTAGGGGCGGGAGGGGAGGGCGGGCGGAGGCGGGGCAGCAGGCCAAGCTGCGCTGGAGTTGGCAAAAGAGGGACGCGCAGAACTACAGAAACTTGCTCCATCCATGAGCTGAGAGTCCCGCGCCCAGCTTAATGGTGTGGGGGGCGCGCCCCCCAGCTCAGCGGCCTTCACTCGACCCCTCAAGTTCGCGGCCACAGTGCGGCCCGCGCTGATTCCCGGAGCGCTCCGAGCCTACAGATGTCTGGAGCGCCAGCCCCAAAGCCCAGGCGCGGGGGCCCAGCGCCGGGGAGAGCAGCCCGGACACACCGGCGGGGCCGAAAACAAGTGTATTCATATTCAAACAAACGGACCAATTGCACCAGGCGGGGAGAGGGAGCATCCAATCGGCTGGCGCGAGGCCCCGGCGCTGCTTTGCATAAAGCAATATTTTGTGTGGGAGCGATCCGTACATTTGCATGTTGCGGAGTGATTAGTGGGTTTGAAAAGCGAACCGTGGCTCGGCCTCATTTCCCGCTCTGGTTCAGGCGCAGGAGGAAGTGTTTTGCTGGAGGATGATGACAGAGGTCAGGCTTCGCTAATGGGCCAGTGAGGAGCGGTGGATGCGAGGCCGGGCGCCGGCACACACACATTAACACACTTGAGCCATCACCAATCAGCATAGGTGTGCTGGCTGCAGCCACTTCCCTCACCCACACTCTTTATCTCTCACTCTCCAGCCGCTGACAGCCCATTTTATTGTCAATCTCTGTCTCCTTCCCAGGGATCTGAGAATTGCTCTCACATACCAAACCAGCAGCGTCCTTGGAGTAAACTCTCGCCAGCAACTCCTTTAAAATACCGTCATTTCAAACCGTTGTGGTCTTTAAGCAACAAGAGAAAACAAACAAACAAACAAAACCCAACCAAACAAAACTCTTGACAGGAGCTTTTGACGAGAGAGGATGCCTCAGAAAGGTGAGTCCGCTTCTTTCTTCTCGCTTCATTTTTATTGCAATATTCAGGCAGGTCTCCCCCTTCCTCCCCCCCCTTCCTTCCTCCCTCTCGCCGGTCCCCTCCCCCACTGCTACGCCGGGAGAGTTGGACTGGAGAAGTTTCCACGCAGGAGCCCAAACTTTCTACTTCCAGCGAAAGCCCGCGTCGGAGGGCGACGGCCGGCAAGCGGGAGCGGCGCAGGGCTCGCGGCGGCCGGCCGGCTCAACCCCAGCGCCAGCGCCAACGCCAGCGCCAGCGCGGGTTGAGCTCGCAGGAAGAACCGAGGCTCCGGGCGACGCAGCCGCCGCGGCTCCCGGCCACAACGTCGCCAAATGCTCCCGGCCGGCGGCAGAGGACGAAGAGGCTTTGCGGTGCCGCAGGCCCGGGAACGGCTGCAGAGACTGGCCGCCGCCGGCCGCTTTGTCCAGCCGCGGGCCCAGCGATCGCGCCGAGGGCCGCGCGCCGAGGGAGCGCCGAAGGAGCCGGCTCGCCGCGCCGCCGCCCGCCCTCCGGCTTTGTGCGGCGCTCTCCCGGGCACCGAGGAATCCGCGGGCGCTCGAGCGCCCAGGGCCACCGCGCCCGCCGCCAGCCCGAGCAGTCAGTCGGCACGGCAACGCCACGCCGGATGCGGAGAGAAAGAGCGAGAGAGCGGGAGCCGGGAAGGAAGCTGCCAGGCCGAGGCGGTCGAACGCGCGCTCCGAGGGAGCTCCGAGCCGAGCGGGAGGATTGTCAGCTTCCATCAGGACCCCAGGCTCTGGCCCCCAACTTGAGCGCAGAGCTCGGAACTTGAAAACTCTCTGCTCCCCAGGCTTCCCCCAACCTTCGCCCTCGCCCTGCGAAAGCTGGGGTCCTCCCTGTCCTCCGGCCCCCAGCGCTCGGTGGGTATTTTTCCTTGTCTTCCTCTGACAAAGCTGCACCGGGTGTTGCCATTTCAACAAGTTTCGAGGTGGAAAGGTGGATTTTTTTTTTTAATTCAAAGCTCCTGAATTTTTTCCTTTGTGAGGCCTTTAAGAAAAATCAATATGAAAGCATTGGCTTTCCCCTTCGTCTGATCACGTCCTCTCCCAGCTAATTAGTCTGAGTAATTTGAGAGCTTTTCGATTCTAAGACCCCAGGAGGAAAAGTGTCTTTTCAAAGTTCATAAAGTTGTTGCCTCTGTCCTTGTGCAGATTTTCTCAGTCTCCCTGCACCATAATAGCCCTGAATTTTAGCAAGTGTAATTGGGGGGAAATGGAGTTGAATTTCAAGTGGAAATGCTTTCTTTTTTGAGTGCTAAAACCCGGCCCTCCAGTCATGAGTGATTTCTAGAAAGTTTAAAAACAAAGTGAACGGTGGTTTCTTTTTTCACATATGATCCGAAGCTCCCTAAGCCATATTGGACGTTTAACTCGAACTTGGGAAGGTTTGAAGAGGGGAGTGGGAGCAGAAAATGAGATGAAAAGCAAAGAGCTTGAAAGCCTGGCGAGTTTACGGAGGAGAAATAATAGTTGTTGCCGTTGACATTACATTTTTTATAGCCGGTGACCTTTGCAAATGTCTGAAGGCAATTTGATTAGTCGTTATTTGGCCCTAGAGAGTAAAACTTTGTCATCTTAATTGGTAATTACTCTTTGGCTGGGGGTCGGGGGGGGGCGGTGGGCGAAAGTGAGCTTTCCTCTCCCCTTCGCCCTAGCTAAGAAGTTTGGAGATGAATTTTGAGCATTAAGTAATTAAAACAACAACAGCGTTAAAAGCTGAGGTTGGGTCAGGGGTAGGGAGGCAGTGGCTCAGTGGCCTAGTGGACCAAGGCAGGGCGACTCTGAGGTGTTTGGAGACTCCTTCCTTCCCGAGTGGGTCTCTGACCCAGCTGGGGCCGTAGGAAGCCCTTGGCTGAGCTGGGGGGGGCTTCGGCTGCGGCTGAGGTGGAGGGAGTCTAGTCTCTCCGCAGGCGACTGCTTCCGGGTGTCGGACACCCGGCTTCCCCGGTTGCTTTTGCACTAAGTGTTAACGATTACTTAAGTAATGAGATAGCTTCTTAGTTGAGAGGGGTGTGGGAAAGGAGCAGAACCGGGATTTGAAATGCTTCCACCTTCCCAGCTGCTTGGAAAATTAATCGGCTAGGCCTCTCTGGAATCAGCTAGTGATTTTTAAAAAATGGCTCCAAGAATGTACCGGCTGGGCTGGGGGCATTCGGTTGTGGTTGGGTACGGTGTGGGTTACAGTATGGCTTTAGGAAGTTTTACCCTTCTGGGGGAATTCCAGTCCACCTCTCCCCACCAGCTACTATGTGCAGTTTCAGAATCCCACTTTGGGGAGGGGGGTTGGGCATTCTGTGCAAAGTTGGGTTTTCTGCCTGTCCTTGGCTTGACTTGGTCTTGGGGACTGAGAAACAGGAGGAAGGCTTTGGGAGCCAACCCAGCTAGGGCTAACTAGGTAGCCCTCTGCCTTCTCCAATATTTACCAAGCTGCTTTGGGAAGCTGGGGGAAAGTCTAAGTTTTAAGTTTATTTTTATGGGTTTAAGCTGCCTCCCAGGTAGTTAATAAATTAGACCATGAATGGCCTTTAAGAGAAAAAAATGTGTTTCTTGGGATTCTTTGCTTGCAGGCAGGCAAAATTAATAATCATAATAGGCAAAACAAGAATAAAACTTTTAGTTTTGTCTTTAAACAGGGAAAATGATGCTGTGACTATTTAATGATTTTACTTTTTTTTTTTGGCAAACCTTTTGAATGGGTTCTTTATTGTAACTCTCTCTTCCCAATTGAGCTCCCCACGGTGCCGTTGTATCTTTTTACAGCCCCTAACAACTCACACCAGTAACACAATTACCTCCAGATATTTATAACAAGAAATTACTTTTCTATTCCAACCCCACCCCCAGAACCTTCTTCTTAAGGGAAGGCAGGGAGGGAGGTGATGGAGGAGGTCGTAACCTTGGGGGACAGCACTGGGTCAGGAATTACAAAGCAAGAAGTGTCCCTCTGCTCCCTTTGTGAGTTGGTGGGTTGTTGGTACCTTTGGTTGGAAGCTGTGTTGCTGGTTAGGGAGACTCGGTTTTGCTCTTTGGGTTTGGGGAGGGCTGGAGAATAGAAGCCATTGTTCACTCTCTGTAGGCTTTGTCGACCACGCTCACCCCCTCCTGTTCATACTTTTTAAAGCAGTGAGGCGAGGTAGACAGCGTGTGTCACAGTACAGTAAAAGGGGGGAAGATCTAAACACCAAAAGATAAGTTAATCACAATAAGTGAGGTTTGGGGGGGAAAAAGTTAAGCTTGCTACTTTCAAAGTCCCAGAAAGGCTGAGAAGTGAGTAGAGAGGGGGTCTGACTGGGAAGCTTTGAGGGAGAGAGTGAAGGTTAAAGGGGTAACCAAAGAGTTGGGTTCTGGGGGCCTTCGGGCAACTGGGGTGGTGAAATTCTTGAAGGAAGGAGTAATGGCTCCGAAGCCCTCCCAGTAGGCCCCAGCCTGCACCCTCAGGCACCCTGAAGTTCCAAGGTCCCCTTTGCCTCACATCTAAACTTCAGGTATAAGTCCTCTCCCCCTCCCCCCCACCCTACCCCCCAGCTCTTGGCCTCTCCTCCTAACCCAGCTGTTTCTCTTGTTCTCCCCTCTTCCTTTCCCTGGTTTTTGATATTTTTGCAAAATGAGGCCCCAACTTGTCAGATCCTTTCTCCATATCTCCCAAGCCAGGCCAGGGCAGCCACTAGCAAACCGTGGGGACTTCTGCAGGATAGGCTGCTGGAAATGTGGGTGTAAGTCTGGGATTTAGGGTTTTATGGCAGTTTGAGACCTAGATGCATTTTTTTTTTTTTTCTTTCTGAGAGTGTGGATCAGAGAGCCCATGGGCCTATGCTTTTGAGCCACAGTTTGACATACCTTTCTCTCCTTCTGGTTTGTCTTAGGGCGAAGACTTTAACTAGGGGTGTGCAGATGTGTGAGACCTTTTATTGTGAGAGTGGACAGACATCCCAGATTTCAGGCAAGTTCTACGTTGGCTGCTTTGGGTTCCAAAACCTGAAAGAGTCAGAATGCTCGCTCATTGTTGTTCAGATGGAAGAAAAAATTCAAAATCAGGTCATCGATTCTCCTGATTAAAGGGTTAACTACTAAGAGATTTGGGGGGAACAGATTGGGAATATTGGAGTATTTGTAGCCCAAAGGGTAGATTTTGCATGCACTGGAGGGCAGAGCTGGATGACTCTTCCATCGCTGCAACCGACTGAGTGGATCATTTCCTTAAAGAGGGGGCTTTCTCCTGTCCTGGCTCCAGGACATCCTCTGTAGGGAGGTAGGCCTACCTGGTGCTGGCCCATGATTAATGCCTATATTCTTGCTAACAGAGCCCCATATTCGAGCCCCGTGGGATACCGCGGCCCCCAGCCTGCGCCAGCATGCAGAACAGTAAGTGCCTCTGGTCTTCTTGGACTTGGGGCTGGGGAGGTGCAGACCCGCGCGCGGGTCGGGGGAGGGCATGGAGCCTCACGGAGTCCGCGCTGGCCAGACCGCGGGCGCGAGGCCGAGGGACCCGAGGCAGCTGCTCCTCTCTCCTAGCCCGGCAACCCGAGAGGGGAGGCCGTTTGCTCTGTTCTCCCTCCTGGAAGAACAAGGGCTGGGCCCCTCAGAACAGCCCGCAAGAGTTTGCGAAGCTGCGGAAGAGAAACCCCATCCCCCCAAATCCTGTAACTCACACCCCCTCCCCGCCCCTGCCCGGGCTCTGACCCCAGAGAGGGGGGCTGGGCTGAGCAGGGCGGGGCGGAGGCTTCCAGTCGCAGCGCGAGAAGGAGGCCCCTTGGGTTTAGCGAAGACTGAATGTCTCCGCCGTCCGGGCGGGGTGGGGGCTCCCCTCCCCCAGTCACTCTAAGGGCAGCTCCTCCCCTCCCCACCCTGGCTAGGGCCCTGGAAGGCCAGCGGAGCGGGGCACCCAGGCCTGCGGTGGGGTGGAGGTGGTACACTGGCCCCATGGGACTGTTACAGGGCGCCGGCGAGAGCAGGTTTACTAGGTCTGGGAAGAGAGTGAGGATGGAGCCCAGGAGGTGGAGAAGCCCTGCCCCGATAGCTGCTGTGTGTGTCTTGGTCATTCCGGCCCGCTGTGCCTTTGATTCCCAGGCTCTTGCACTTCCCATTCTCCCTCTGCCTAGGCCCTTTGGGCCCCCAGCCCACTTTCCTGCTCGGTCCGTGAGTGCTGGTGTGTGGCAGGACGAATCTGGAGACCGGGCCTGGGAGCGTGGAGGCCCAGCGAAACTAGGCCAGGGTTGAGGTGCGGAGTCTGGACGCGGTTTAAGGGCCCAGCTGTATGGAGTGCCCAAAGGCCTAAGCCTTCTAGAAACCTTCCCTTGCCGAACTGCAGACTGAGGAGGGTCCCCAGCGCCTGATCCATCTGTCCTGGAACCGCTAGTCGTCCCCTGGTGCTTCCGCGGCTGGTGGGCGTAAAGCGCAGGAGTGGGCGCAAAGGTGGCGAGCTTTAAGGCGGATTAGTTGTGCAGAAACCTGCCAGGCCCTGGGACTCGGCCTGGTAGGAACCTTCCTTGGCGAGGCTTAGGCTTCTGTCCACCCTTCCTGGCTGCTGGGTTCTCCCCCTACAGCACAGGGTCCCCAGCCGCAGGCTCTCGGGAGGGCCGGCCCCCGGCGCCCGGCGCCGTGGGTTTGCCGCTGCGGCCTGGCTGGCGGGCCCCGAGGGGCGCGCGGGGTCGCGGGCCGGCCTGCAGGGCTTTGTGCCGCTCGCTCCCGGGTGTGCGCGAGGCGCAGAGCATCCAAATTGACACCATATGTTTTCCTATTAGATGCTTCGCGGTCGAATTCTAGGCGCATAATCATCGCCACTGGGCGAGAGCGCCAGCCGTCCCTAGGGAAGGGACACAATGATTGAGGCTTAACCTCTGAAGGGGAACTTATAGCTGCGCTTCCTCGCTGCCATTTCGATGCTGGCAGAGGCGACCTGGCCCTGGGCGAGCACCCGCCGGCGGTCGCTGTGGAGGTGGCGGGCAGGTTGTTTTTTGCAATGCGGGGAGAAGGAGGGAGGTCTAGGGTTAGGCGGCCTCACACGCCTTGGCATTCCTAGATTGGGACCTGCTCACGCAGCGCGTGAAGTTTAGAAAGTCTTTCTCGATCTTTCTCTGGGGCAGCCTTTCTTTTTCCTGGAAGGCTCCCTTTGCCCAAAGGGGAGGCTCCGTATCTGGAGGAGTAGAAGCTCTTTCGAGGCAAAGGAAGGCAATAAAGGGAGTTTAGGAGAAAACGGTAAGCGCGATCTAGGGCTTGCTCTGTTGGAGAAGCGGTGTCCCTGCGATGGCCCTGCTCACGCTGGGCCCGGCCGGAGCCTAGATACCCCAAAAGCCTGTCACTTCTCATCGAGTTGAGGCTCCAGCACCCCCCTCAGTGAGGGCCCCCCCCTGCCCCAAGCCTTCGGCTACCCTGAAAACGCGGCTCCCCTCGAAGGGGAAACGAGTGCAGTTCAATCTCGTCTGAGTGATCTACAAATAGGGACGGAAAGGGTCGTTTTATCACGGTCCCGTTTGTCGTGACGATGCAATTTCCCGGAGCGGAGCACTGTCACAAAGTGACAAGGCTGCCACAAGCGCCCCGACTGATCTTTTCAATTAGCCTTCCATGCATGATCCGGAGCGACTTCCGCCTATTTCCAGAAATTAAGCTCAAACTTGACGTGCAGCTAGTTTTATTTTAAAGACAAATGTCAGAGAGGCTCATCATATTTTCCCCCCTCTTCTATATTTGGAGCTTATTTATTGCTAAGAAGCTCAGCTTTCTGGAGTCAATTTATCAGAGGCTCCAAGGAGAAGAGAGGAGAGGAGAGCTGAGCGGGGAGCCACATCTTCTCCTGGAAGGGCTGCTCTCTAGAGTCGGGGCTGCAGGTTGGAGATTTTTAAGGAAGTGGGAATTGGCAATTGGCTTTATTTGTGTGTCTGTGGTTTCTGGGGAGGGGCTACAGAGGTGCTAACTCCCTGTTCCCTATGATTAGACAATGGGGTGAGGTTGTGAGATAACCAGATAAAGGAGGGATGGGGGACACTGCGGTGTGGTCTTTTCCTTTTCTTTCCACTTTTTGATTTTTGCTAATATCTGTCCTTGGCTGTGGGGAGGGCCGAGTTTAGCAGCAGAGCTGTGGCCGGTGCGAACAGACTCCCAGATCTCCGCCCCACTGCAGCAGCCAGCCTACTTTGTGGCTGGAGCCGATCTGGGGCTCTGAGGCTTGAGGAAGCCTTCAGTGGAGGTGCTGAAACCCAGGTTGTGATTCATTAGCCATGGATTTGCTCTTCTGGTTCTTCTCTACTCCCTCCCCTTTTCTTCTCTTTTTTTTTTTTTTTTTTTTTAAATCCCAGTGCTTGTGTGTTGCCTTCACCAGAGTTTGGAGTGTGACAACAAACGTTTCTGGACTCTAGTGTCTGAGGGAGCACTGGAGAGCTATAGGATTTGCTATCACAGTTCTAACAATGCAGAGACCTTGGAGATTCAGTGTGGGTTCTATAGGACTCGTGGTTTTTCTTGACACTCAGAGGGGATCTTTGGGAGGATATTTTTTGAGCTGATGATTTGCACCTTGCGGGTTCAGAGACTGGCTGGGGTGTTTATGGAAGGCAGCGGTGGGCTGGGGGCTCTGCTGGAGTGAAGGCGGTAGTGAGGTGTGTGTGCTCTTGCTGGTCGGTGTGTGTTTGCATGGTGCTTCTGCAGTCTGGTGGGCAGGAGCTCGGCTGTGCTTGGGCTGGGCTGCCTGATGCCAGGAATGGCTGCGAGGTCCTGTTGTCATTTCTGATCGATAGCAGGGACCTGATCGCTGAGGTTGGCCAGGGTTGGCAGGGAGCTGAGGATGCATTGTGGTTGTCTTTTCTTTCTTCTTCCTTTTCTTCTTTCTCCCTCTTCTTCTCTTCTTCCTCCACCTCCTCCCTCCTCGTTCTCTTTACTCTTCTTCCTCGCCTCTCCTCTCCGCTCTGCTCTGCTCTCCTCTCCCTTTCCTCAGGTCACAGCGGAGTGAATCAGCTCGGTGGTGTCTTTGTCAACGGGCGGCCACTGCCGGACTCCACCCGGCAGAAGATCGTAGAGCTAGCTCACAGCGGGGCCCGGCCGTGCGACATTTCCCGAATTCTGCAGGTGATCCTCCCGGCGCCGCCCCACTCGCCGCGCCCCCCGCGGCCCTCCACTCTCAACGCCCTCTCTCCATTTCTTACTGTAAAGGCTGCTAATTATGGACCCACCAACCCTCACCCCCACTCCAGTCCCCACCCCACTCCCCTGCCTTCCGCTTTCCCCTTTCCTTCCACCATCCTTCCCGATCTCTTCCAACCTGGGTCAGTCACATAAGACAATTCATCTGCTTAAGAAAAAAATTGGGTGTGAATCCGAAAAAAAACCAAAACCTTTCTTTTTTCATTTGGCAAAAACATTCATTGTGGTAACAGTTTATGAAACTATAATAAAATGACTTATGTAAATCCACATAATCTCATTCCCCTCTCCCTCATCCCATGCTTACCTCAGGGTTTGAGATACTTGTTTGATTTCTTCGTATTTATGAAAAATATATATATTGATTTTAAAAGACGAATGCTATTTACCTCCCTCCCTAAGTCACATTTACTCAATTGGGCATATTTTTAAAGGAATGATAACTAAAAATTCAGTCTCTATTTCCCCTTCACTCATTACAGCTTAACAGCACTTTAAGCAAGGTCAGCACAAAACAATCTGACTTCGTTTTGATGCATCTTCAAGCAGCATTTATTTACAAAAACAGTTTTTAAAACTTTGAAATTAGTTTTTTTTTTTAGTTCAAACGGTTTGAAAGTATCATCCTATTTGTAGTTTTTAGGGCTACAAATGTAATTTTAAGAAAAAAGCTCTCTACAGTAAGTTCTCATACCATTGAAGGTATATTTTTGTGTTATAGACCCATGCAGATGCAAAAGTCCAAGTGCTGGACAATCAAAACGTAAGCTTGTCATTGTTTAATGCATACTTAAACAATTTTATTTTTGTCTTGAAATTATTAATAATGTGGTTTTCTGTCCACTTCCCCTATGCAGGTGTCCAACGGATGTGTGAGTAAAATTCTGGGCAGGTATTACGAGACTGGCTCCATCAGACCCAGGGCAATCGGTGGTAGTAAACCGAGAGTAGCGACTCCAGAAGTTGTAAGCAAAATAGCCCAGTATAAGCGGGAGTGCCCGTCCATCTTTGCTTGGGAAATCCGAGACAGATTACTGTCCGAGGGGGTCTGTACCAACGATAACATACCAAGTGTAAGTTCACTGAGAACATTCCCTCTCCCTGCCCTAAGCTCACACTCTTCCCTCTTTACCATCACTTTCTTGACCTCCCCCTGCTCCTCTCCCTGCCAGTGTCTTTCTCTCTTTCTCTCCTCCGTGCTCCACAATTTGTCTCCTCTGTACCTGGGGGTCTTGAGAGGAGCACCCTGACCTTTTTTTTGACCTTCTGGAAAATGGAAGTCAAATGTGGGGGGTTATGCACCTCACTTGCATGTGGCAAAGTAGAGAGCGGAGGCACCTGGAGAAAGGCACTGGAATCTAGAAGGAAAATGCAAATGAAAACCAGATTTGAGCTTCCGCCAAATCTACCTGTTTGAACTTTCTTTCAGGCATCAAACATCCATTTCTGCCCTAATATAAAACAAATAAAAGTGAAAGAAAGCTCTAGGCCAAGTCTCAATATTTTGGGGGGGAAGTCTTTAACAACAAAAAAGCAGCCATGTGAGTTAGGTCACCAGAGACACTGTGCAACAGTGAAGGACCCCTCCCTAGTCTTTCAACTCTCTACACAACTGAGTTTCCATGCCCAAAGTGATGGCTGGCATTCTTTCCACGATGTCTCTGCAAATCCACCCACTGTCCTAGGATGGCTGGGAATTTTTTTTTTTTTAATGTATTAAGGGTCATTCTTTAAGCGGTGGGAGTGCTGAGATGGGGACTTAGGGCAACTGTGTCTTCAGGAGACTCTACCATTTGGTTTGATCTTGATTTGATTTGCAGGTGTCATCAATAAACAGAGTTCTTCGCAACCTGGCTAGCGAAAAGCAACAGATGGGTGCAGACGGCATGTATGATAAACTAAGGATGTTGAACGGGCAGACCGGAAGCTGGGGCACCCGCCCGGGTTGGTATCCGGGGACATCGGTGCCAGGGCAACCTACTCAAGGTAAAAACCCAAACACCCATCCTCAAATTCTCCATATATGCAGCCCCTTGCCCATCCTCTTCTCCAACTTTTTCGCTCTCCGGGCTTTTGTGCCTAGAGAATGTAGTGGAGAAACTCTTCAAAGGCTTGGGACATATCGACTTGTGCTGTATCTAGGTGGTGTTTGTTGAACTATCTGGTTGGCCTGGGAATTCGAGGGTTGTGTATGTTAGGTAGTATGAATGTAGCTGGTGTGTGTGTGTGTGTGTGTGTGTGTGCATATGTTCGCTCGAGTGTGTGTTATGGGCAGGAGTATGTGCGTGTGTGTATGAGCTAGCTGCGTGGTGCCCTATTCAAATGTGCCATTAAAATGCACGGAGAGCCCCCTTGCTGTAGAAGTGTGACAAGTTAACACACTGACAGACTGCAAGATAAACATAATTGTATCGTTTTGCTTCTTGCCGTAATTGACAAATTATGTGACTAGGAGTAGGGTGTGTATGAGAGGGTGAGCACTGAGATGCAGGGCCAAGTTGAGGATGGGGCATTGGAAGTGGTGGCTTTCCCAACTAAACAACCCTACCCTCTCTGCTCTGACCCCTTCCACCCTTTGGGCCCCCAGTTCTCACTCTTTGTGGGTGGCGACTGCGTAGAAGGGTGGGGTGAGGATACTGTGAACCGGACTTTGGTGTGCCGGGAGCGACTCTGGGGCTGGGAGGAAAGATAGGATCTGGACCGTCCTTGCATCTGTGAGAAGGGATGGAAGAAGAGGAGCAGATGGGGGTGGGGTCTGGTCTGTTGGCTCTCCCCCTCCCCTACACACACCGGAGGTAGCTTGGTCAGGAATAGGAAACAGTTTACTCCGAAGATTAATCGGTATTTGTTGTCCTCGTGACAAGGAGATAATATGCGGGATAATGGGACGTGGCGTCTCACTCCCCGGAGCACGAGGAAGCCTGGGGGCTCCCGGCCTGGGAGGCGGCGAGGGGAAGCTGACTGGGCTGCCCTCGCATCCGTGCGCTCTCGGACCCGCTCTAGGTGCCCTGCGCCTCCACCGAGCCGGGCTAGAGAAGGGAAAATCGGTAACAGTATGCGAAATATCTGGTACAAAGGATGCTTCTGTCACTCGCAAGAATTTGTTATGGGAACAATCCTGTCGCTCTGTAATTGCTCATTAGAGAACGTTTTGTTTCTCATTAAGGCGACATGAATAAGCGTCTAGTTGAAGGAGACAGCTGTAGAAATGTTCCACAAGAGACCTCTGGACACGATTCGGCACCGATTGCCAATTAGACATGTCAGTTTTAAGAGCAGAAAACAATATAGGACGGACACTGGGAAGATAGGGAGCAAAGCGCTGGCTCGGTGTTTCCCAGCGCGGCCGCTCGGCCGGCCGAGGCCTCCCGACGCGCAGGGCCCCGGCTCCCCCGGGCGACCCGCCCGCCCGCTCCCTCGCCGGATCGGGCCGAACCGCGGCCTCCCAGGGTGCGAGGCTGCACCCGAGGAGGCGCTGCCTCCGCCCTGACCGCAGGCCCCGGCCCCCTCCGGCTTCTGGTGAGGACGAGGGAGTGACCACCACACCCTCACCTGACCCTTGAAACCGTAGGCTTCCCACCTGCGCACACCGGGCACACCCAAGTGACGCGCTCCCGTTGCCTTCCCCGGCCCCCCGCAGTCTGCGGTCCCGGTGACCCCACCCCGCCGAGTCTGGCCAGCGGGTGCGAGAGGTCTCAGGGAGGGCATGGGACACAGTGGCCGGGCCTGGGAGAGCTGAGCCCTGGGCGCGAGGGCTCACGTTTGCCCGGGGCCTGGAACAAGGACACCCGCTCCTCCTCCCCGGAGCCCGGACCGGACCGAAGCCGAGAGCAGCAGCTTCGCCCGCCCCTCTGCTGTCACCAGAGGTGGCGCCCGATTGGGGCGGCTTTTCGTCGCGGGGAGCGTGAGGGCGGGAAGCGAGAGCCTAACCGCAAGGACCTGGTCGTGACCGTTGGGGCAGGAGGTGGCGCTAGTTCAGGAGCTTTGAACTTTCAGGCGCCGAGTTGGCGGAGCCTTCTGGCTCCCCAACTGCCAGTTCCCCCTTCACTCCACAGAAAACCCACGCCAGTGCCTGGTCCCCACCGCGTGGCGAGGACGGTCGCGCCAGGCGAGCGCAGAGTCCCGGGCGTGGGGACCACCGGGCGCCGGCGGCCGGCTGACGTGCCGGGAATCCTCGGTTCTCTTGGCGCTAAGAAGGCCCCCCTCCCTCCCTCCCTCGCCCCCTTTGCCGGCCCAGGAAGCCGGTTTGCGGTTTTAAAGAGCCCATTACTCCGAAAGCATAAGGCGAGGTTAGGTCTCAGAGGGAGACAAATCTGGTTTCCATCTGATCAACGCCATGCGGCGGTGAATAAAATTGTGCCGACTTGGGCTGACAACAAGAAGAGACAACTCTATCCAGCCCCGATTCTCCAGCGCTTTGGTGGTTTTAGGGATCACAGAGACACTTTTTCTTATCTCCTCCCCCCCCCCCCCCCGCCCCGCCACCAGCCCCGTAATACCCAGGCCCTCTATAGGATTTAGTCAGTCTCTTTTTCAACAGATGCTACAATGTTTTGATCCGCGCTCCAGAGCTGAAAAGGTGCCGCAACCGGGTTGCTATCTTTTCTTGCTTGTTTTCCGCATCACTGATTAAGACACTAAGAAACTAAGGAATGATTTTATTTCCCAGCGTCTTTTTTTTTTTTTTTTTTTTTCTTTCTCTCCTCTCCTTCTTCCAGGAAATAAATCCTATCCCGAGCGTCAGATGGTCCTGGGGCTGGGATAATGGGAGGCGCTTTCACTCGCCTTCTCGCGGATTAGGCTGGAAGGTGGACGGCGCCCATTGAAGGCCCCTTCTTTGCGCTCAGAGGGGGCGCCTTTTAAAGAAGATATCTTAATTGTCTGCCACTTAGGTTTATCATGTGGGGAATTCGAGATCCAACTTCCAGTTCTATTTTGCTAAAAGCTTTAAGAGTGGAAGGTAAATCCACTAAAGAAAAAAAGGGGGGCACCCAGTCTAAGAGTGACCTCTCCGGCACTGCCTCGCTGCGAACAGTTGCTATTTTTAAAGGAGCAAACAAACTTTCAATGGAGCACGCTCGCTCTTCAGGGTCTTGGAGGGATCCTGCAGCCACGGGTTTCTCCTGAACCGCCTCTAATTCCACGGCTGTTTTTATTTTCCCCCTCAAAGAGGTTTAAAATCGAGCTCTCCTCATCCTC